TCTGGTACAACAGACCTACCGTCACCCAACTAGCTCAGGTCCCCGCCTGAGGGTCCTATTTTTATCCCTAATACCAAGTCTATGATTTGCCATGTCTCTTGTGTGCCAACCCACAAGTGTTGTGGCACAGCTTGTTTTGATTTGGTTTAATGTTGAACCACAACATTTGTGGGTTGGCACACAAATTTACGGAGCAAGAGAGAGATTGGGACAAGACTAGGAAACTGCATAATAATAAAGCAGATTCTGATCAACATTTCCTGCATAAAGATGAAGGAGGGGGAGAGAACGACAGTTGGAGTGTGATAATTTCATTTCGCTCAAAGGAGCACACCACACTATATCTAAATAAACAAGGTAAAATTGTAATAGTGAAGGCATGATAGGATGTTACTGGAAACGCGAAAAACCTAGCGCAAAAGGGGAGATACCACAATTATTAAGCACACGTTTGGTCAAAGGATCGACTTCATTTGTCTCTTTGACGAGTTGTTGTATGGTGCTAAGAATGGCGATACTCACTGACGATGCCGACTAGGATGCCGGCGAAACGTTTGGGAATGTACCACGTCCACGGTTTAACTTTGGAAATGATCATGTAGACAATGGACTCTGGACTAGGTGCGTTCTTCTAAGTCTTCCTACCAATATGACCATGTTGCGAAAACAAGGTCAAACAACTTCTATACAACGAAACGGGACTGCGACCACACAAAAGGCCACACCATCTTTTTTTTATTTCTTAAATTGGTCAAAGGATCGGCTTCACTTGTCTTTGAGGCGTTGTAATGTGGTGCTTAAACTGGTAAGACTCATTGACGATACCAAATACGATGCCGCCGAAACGTCTGGGAATGTACCACGAACACGGTCCGATTATGGAAATTATCATGCATACTATGGTCTCCGGACTAGGTGCTTTTCCCTATGTCCTACCGTCACGACCAAGTTGCGAAAATATGGTCAAACAATTTCTATCCAACGAGAGGAGAATGCGAGGATACAAAGTCTTCATACCTTCGATTTATTGTAATTTGTCTATATATATTTTGCTCTATGTCTATGTGTAAGTCTGGTTAGAGTGCACATACTGCATTTTAAGTAAACCTCGCTCGTTGAAAATTGCCTGATTTTTATTTTTCTATTTTGCTCTCATTAATTATTATTCTTATTCTTGCTCCCTTGCTCTTCCTCAATATAGTGAAATCTTTTATTTGACACATATTTCATGTACACATTTTTACTACAGGGTGACTACCATTTTTTGAAGTTGATCCTCTATTACAATACAGTGCATCTTGAGGGATTCTAACCAAGCAATTAAACTCAATTTTTTTATTCTTTTGCATCTCGTTAAGGCATCAAATGGCTCTTGGGCTACTGCGGTAAAAATCTAACTCACATATCCCTTATCGGTTGTGCCAAGGGTGCCTTCCAGAGTGAACGACTCGTTCATCTGATTGCTTCACTTTGTCCTAGTGTCCAGTCAGTCGATCTTAGCTTTGTCCATTCTGTTTGCGACCCAGGAGTTATTCGGCTGGCCAGAGAAACACGGAGGCTGGTCACTGTGTGTCTGAATGGAGCCCAGAAGCTAACGAACAACGCCATTAAACAGCTTGTGCATTACCACAGTTCTTCTCTGGTAAGTTATCCTCAGCCATCTAATTATTTTAGCGTTGACGTTCCAAAGTACCTATGCATAAGGTGTAGCTGATGGAGTCTGCTTAGTAATGTGTACTCTGGATTTAGCTTCATTATATAGAACAGGTAAACAAATGGTTAGCTGGTACAGATACTATATTCTATATATTTAGCCGGACATGCATACTCCTTGTTCTTAATGCTAAGCTCTCTATAAGATGGCATATCTTGATTACTGACTGTTTATTTATAATTCTTAATTGCTTGCATTGTGATCTATTTTTTGTAATCTTGTTTGCAGGAGCGGCTTGAGCTTTCAGGGTGTTTCTGGCTGAATTCGGAAATCTTTGGATCACTTGGTAGCTGCCATGCCTTGAGGTCTTTAGATTTTGGTCTCTGCCATCGCCTTTCATCGAGAGGCTTTCTTGAAATGCTCGAACAGGTAAGGGCTTTCCTTTGTAAGGTGACCATAAATTTATTGTTAGAGAGACCCTCATTTTGTATGAGAGTGCATGAATAAGAGATTCATAAGTTGCTATCATTAGAAGACGGCTGATTCCCGTTGTACTCCAGACGTTTGACTTTAAAAAGACGTTTAGTTTGACGCAGTCCATAAAACATCCTCCCTCGTTTTGGGTGAAAGCGGGCTGAGTTTTCGTCCATCAGGAGCTGGAACTCAATGTTTTAAAAGTCTCACGTTAGCACTAGGTTAAGAAGATCATCCGGCTCTATCTTAAAAATAACTAAAAAACGAAAATAAATAGACATGAATATTTATAGAATGACTTGGCTAATTATTTTCCGTATCGGTATTGCTAATTTGGCTCGTATTTATGTGGATCAGAACAATATTCACTATAGATTTGCGCTCAGCTTCGTGTTACTTTATAGACTATCACAGCCTTGTATAGAGGAGCAGGAAAACGAGTCACATTGTGCCTTGTTTGTAAGAAGGAAAGTTACAGGCGGGGACCTCGATGCGGGAAAAACTCAAACGATGTTGGAGTGTGGTGTTGGTGCAAGAGGGCAGCGTTTGATCACAAAGAATGAACACGGCGCAAGGCAGGACCTGTTCCTATTCGAACTAGTTTCAGGTTTAAAATACTCTTCGAAGATATACAGATCAAGATGGTGTGGCCTCCGGTATGGTCACAGTCTCCTTTCGATTTATAGAAGTGGGTTGACCTCGTTGTCGCAACTTG